TCTATACGTGTGCTTCAAAGTGCACATGATACCAAATTACGTTTGCTCCCAATTGTATCGCAAAATTGGTGCCATGGCTGCAAGATCGCTGATGAAGAATCTTTCGATTTTGAGATGGCTTTTTCAAACGTCAAGGTCATTACATCTAATTGTATACATCTCTAGTCCGGATCAATTTATATTTATTGTCCAGATGATAGTTTGAAAACAAATAATAACAGCTATCTCAAATGTTGTATCTCAGTTGGTTTATTTAAAAATTAAGGCGGCAGGAAATCTAGTCAGAGCATTGATACTTGTTTTTGCCGTACTGCATCGTCCGTCTTCCATCCGTCAACATTTCCTGTAAAACGCTCCTGGTCCTGAAAAGCTTTATTGATTTTGACTAAATTTTGCCTGAGCATCCTTTGGAAAAGAGGACTCAATTTTATATAAACGAAGAGTGTGGCCTCTCTGGGTGCAGAGGGACATGACTCAATAGGGTCTTGTGTAGAGTAGTTGTCGAGTCAATGTAATAAATAACTATCGCTAGAAATTGGAAGTAAGGAAGCACATATACATCTGTATAAGAAAATAACTATCAATGCGAAGCTTAACAAAGTATCTTACATTCCACAGTGTGGCTGTTTCCTTAATAAAGGGCCCGTCAGTGGTGCTAAAGGTCAACAGAATGCAAACACGTGTCTTAATTGTTCTAAACGAGGAAATGCATCGAAGGGAGATAAGGGTCTATGTGGTATTACAACTGTTCAAAATTTTGCTACAAAATGTTATATATTTTAATCTTTTATTTCTTGCAAACCGCGTCGGAATAATTCCAGATTCAGAGTTACGGCAAACTTCGAGGACTTAAAGTTCACCAGAAGAGTCAAACAGTTGTATACGTAAAATAATTACTTGATATAAGAAGTATGGAAGCACACGTTTAAAAACTTCTCAAAACAAAAAACCACTTAACCATATGACCATTTTGTCCATTTATAACTCATTTGTAGTTACCAGGTCAAAGGAATAGAAATCTACGTCTTACGTGTATATGAAACGTACATGTATTGAAATTCAGGGAAAGAAAAAGATGTCTTTTGATAACAATTCGACAATATTTGTTACAAAAGATGATTTGTTCTCAACCTAACATCAAATATCTTCTTGCTCTAGTGTCAAGTAGTTTGACATATTAACAATTATATGGTACTTATTTATCATTCATATATATATGGCACCTGATCTATTATGTACATTTAGTACATTGTATATTCCGTTTGCAATTAAAATAAATTACTGGTACATACTTTTGAATCAGATTTATAAGTGATATATTTTGGTATTGGAGATGTATTGAATGTGTTATTGTATTAAGAGATGTATTGAATGTGCTATTGTATTAAGCGGTGTATTGAATGTGTTATTGTAGTATTAAGAGATGTATTGAATGTGTTATTGTATTAAGAGATGTATTGAGTTGCATTAGTCATGTTTGTAGACATGGCAAGAGATATAAGCAGAATCATTTTTGTCATTTTTAGGAATCTTCGCTGCGAGGAAAATCTAGGTATTTACTCTTTTGTGAGGATTCATTCTTTTTTTGCTTTAGGATCCTCTCCGTGACTGCTACTTTATTTAGATATTTCGTTTCCGGTGTGCTAGTACCTTGTACCTTTCTCCATTTTTTTTTAAATACAACTAAAATATGTTAGTATCAGGTAGTTATCTTGATGTCTTTCAGTCGTCATCATGATGACCTTTTCTATTTCCCTGCTTGATATGAAGGATTTTAATTGTGCTCTTTAAAGAGCATTGTTGTTTTGTCTTCATTTCAACGGTTCTCTATTGGAGGACGTGGTATTTCTTTAAATTTACCTAGATTTCAATGACGAGGTTACTGGTGAAACAGAAGACGCTTATCCTTTCAAACCACCGGGTCTTAATATACTTTCAAGGATTTCCATGTACATCTTTTTCTTGTTCATTTCTGCCGTGTGTTTTTGTTACTTGAGTTCATATTACGGCTTGTTTGACACTTCGCCTGCTATGCCGTTTTTCTATCTATAAAGTCAGATTCTGGTTTTTACTCTCTGAAATTTCCGTTCAATCTTCCAAGTAATAAATAAAAGAAACTTCATAAAAGTTTTATAATTTTATTTTGACTGGAATTTTCATATCAACATACATTTAAAGCATTATAAACTTATTTCATATCCATTGTATATGTAGATAATGACGTTGACTTGGAAAGCATACTATGTAGCACTGTCAAATCTATCCACTCCACAAACAAACTCTTTATATGCATATGGACATGGGAAAGGAAAAATCAATCACTCTAGAATAAGAATGGGACAAAGTGCTTTAAACAAACATAGATACTCTTACAATTTAACTAATAACAAATTCTGTGACTTCTGCGCGAACTCCTCCGAAGATGAAATTCATTTCTTTNTGACTTTTGTACGTCTTTTGTGTAATTGTACATAATGTATGTTTGATATATGTTGAGGAGAGCATCTAGTAGCCTTCGGGATGTTTGTAATCCTCGTAAAATAAATAAAAAAAATAAATTAATTATACTATGTTCACATATTAATGTCAGTTCATCACCAGTCTTATCTGTATTTACAACAAGTTCCATCGTCGTGTGTTTCGTCAACCCTCCGCCCATGTTTTATCCAAACAGAAAAGCCGATCTTTTAACACGTCTTGCAATTACTCGATTGGCTTGGCTATTACTTATAAAATCAACCACTGAATGTTGGTTATTTTCAAGCTGAGCATTACCAGTTTCTCTTTCCATCCTGTTTGGACTGGCTAGTGTTGAAATGACCAGGCAAACGACCACGATAGCCAGCATCACTCTCATCTTGTGTCTGAATTAGAACCCGCTATACAAATAAGCTAGATATTGAATACAGTTTGATTGATTATGATTTATATCGAATACTTTTTATTCATTAGATTATCTGTTTCGTCCTGAGATTAACCGCTCCAGATACAAATGCTCATTCAACGAGAAATGACATAATAGATGCTATTCGAAAACAGGCTCGCGATACCAGAGAGATTTCCTACGATAGCGTGTTTTGACGTTTCTTATTGGCAATATTTCGTGGCACATTTTTAACATATGCATTCCAATACTACAGAGATTGTGATGTTATTTCGGCCAGTGTTCATTTACGATATGTAAACAACAAACCCATCAAATATCATATCAGCTTTACAGATGTGTACAAATGTCACTAGATCATCTAATGTTTGGTGAATAGTATTTCTTAAATCCTTCGGCTAATACCGAATTGTCTTCGATATATTTGTATCTGAATGTGAGAGCTTTATTTTCCTTTTTTTTTTTAAATAAGAGAAAAGTGATTTCAATGAATGAATGTAAACTGTTTTGAGGCATATCTAATGAAAAATATAACAAAACTAAGATTAAAAATATACAATGGAAGAAACTTAAGAAAGATTGCGTTCCTGGTTGATTGCAGTCATTATATATAACTTTGATCACTTCATGTTTTTTCTGTATTTATTTGGGATTTCACACGGTATCGACCTTTGTCTGCTAGTTACTGAAGTATTATCAAGTGATTTTAAACTGGGACATCAAGTATACCTTGTTATGTATGACGATATAAGTACACAAGTAAAATTCAAAGTCAAATAAAGTCATAATGAATTTGCTAATTGAAACATAGTTACATTAACATTCTAGAAATAACTACGAAACTATTTGACTATTGTGTGCCTTTTGTATATCAAAATATTATTTTCGAACAAATAAATTAATCAGCTAAAGGACACATTGACTTATAGCTTGATATCAATCTTTTACTAGAGAAACAACTCCTGTGGGAGGACACCATATTGTTTAGGCGACTAACTCCAGAGCTCTCCAACCCTGGCAGTTCCTATCAAATTATTTATATATATATAGATATATATATCTGTATATATTTATCAGTATATTATATATGTTTTATATTTGGCTGGGGAAAACACCTGCAACGAAATTAAGGAGGTAAACTGAAATCAGCTTGTCTGTCCGTCTGTCCGTAAAAAACGTTTTTCCGGAAAACTCTTTCTAGAGAAATCGACCAATTTCAACGAAACTTTCCATATATGATAATCGCCACCTGAAGTTGTGCGTCCCGGTATTTTTATTTTCATTTTGACCCTTTTTTACAAAGTTATCGCCCTTTGTTGAAAAATGCTTACCAGAACAACTCCTCAAGAACTACGCGGCCAATTCAATGGAAATTGTTAGATATGATAACTATCACCTGATATTGTGCATCCAGGTACTATTTTTTTCATTCTGACCCTTTTTCAAGGAGTTATTGCCCTTTGTTGAAAAATGCTTACGAGAACAACTTCTCCAAAACTTATTCGCCAACTTCAATAAAAGTTTTCAGATATGATATTGTTTAATTTGACCTTTTTTTACGGGGAAATGACCCTTTGTTTGAAAGAATTTTTCCAAACAACTTCTCCTAAGCTACTGGGCCAAATTGAAAATTTACAGATATGGTAACTTCCCCCTGACGTTCTGCATCCAAGTAGTATTTTATTTTATTCCGTTGCATATCTACTTCTCTTTGTGCTTCTTCAAGGGTCTCCATGTACGTCTTTTCTTTGTTCATATTTGGCTATAGTTTTTATCAAATTTGATTGAAGTATCAATAATAGTTTTGATGACACTTCGATATTGTCTTGTTTTTATATCATTAAGCTCTCGTAAGCGTTGAATTAACTTTTATATTATCAGATTTTCAAAACAAACCTCAAGCGATTTCCCTCCAATATTAAATTCGTTTAGTTCTTTGTACCTAAACAGAAACAAATTTACATTGATAAGCAAAATCTCATTGACTTTTCATAATCCTGCTTTGCTGTTAATTTATCTCAGAAAGTAAGAATCTAGTTGTGATTTTTCACTCTTTATTTCATACTTGCATTGGATTCAGACTTGAAAACACAAAGAAAACGAAACTCCATAAAAATTCAATAATTTTGTTTTTACTGGAACTTTCTAATAAATATATGCCAAGCGTTATTGACTTCTTTCAGATGCATTGATATTACATACATGTACATAATAATATATCTTAATTGAGAAATCGGGCTACGTCTGCAGATGAATGCCAGTTCATCTCCTACATCTGCGATCCTCTCTCATCTTCATTTACAATAATGAGTTCCATTATCCTGCCGTCTCATCCCATAAGAAAACCCCTTCTTTTAACACGTCTTGCAACTACTGGATTGGCTTGGCTATTACTAATGAAATCAGCCTCTGCCTGTTGGTTATTTTCAAGCTGAGCATTACCAGTTTCTCTTTCCATCCTGTTTGGACTGGCTAGTGTTGACACGACCAGGCAGAGTATGATGACAGTCAGCACCACCCTCATCTTGTGTCTGTAACATAAAAAAAACACAAGTTGTACACCAAGAGCCTTCAACAGAATTTACATATCAAAAAAAGAGGACCGTACAATATTTTGTAAGTAAACTTATTTCTACCACGCTGACACATCAGAGAAAATACAAGACAATCAAATGCACTTTATTGAAATAAAACTTACCCTAGAATTATTTGCATTAATTAGTTTAATTTATTTTTTTAACATTCCTCGCAAAGTGATTTTCTCCAGTTTCAAAAAATAATGTAAATAAACGAATTAAGAAGAATCCCTATTCAGCCATTAATCAAAACTGCCGTTTTCAAAAGTCTTGTTTATTCAAATGAAAAACAAAATGAAGTGTTCGAAAAGTATACGAGCGACTGAAATATAAATAAATGATGTTAACATTACTACACAACGAGATATTTATAAAGAAGTGAATGTGAAAACAAATCAAAACTGTAACTACGCATTTATGACTGTTTTTCTGGCATGTCTATAGCTTTGATAATTTTTTTCTGAAAAGAAAACCATACCTTGCGAACATAACAAAGATAAAACTAACAAAAACCAACCAAACAACAGTGTTATGAGCGAGGCTAGACCGGCATGCAAAACCTGAGCTTCAGATCGTCCTACTATCGCTCTAACCGACTGTGCTACCTGATTAGCGGAAGTGACATAGCCAAAATGTGCTACAGTTATACGAAAATCCGCAGTGCAGCAGGACAGTGATCCTTAAGAGCTAAGGTTTTTTTTAAGTCGTGACGGCATGTCTGTAATTTATGTGTGTATGACAAATGTAAGGCACCCGCATGAATATGCAGATAGGGGCACAATGACAGAGAGCTTTGAACCTTCGAAAACGCATATGGTTTTGAGGAAATTGAGATAATTTTTATGTAAAATGTGTAAAAATATCTACATTTGTATCTTTTTAACAAAACCAAGTATTTTGAAAACCCATCGGAAAAGTGAATTTTGTTACGAGAAAGTAAGATGGGGTCGATTTTCGACATCCAAAATGTCCACCCTTCTTGTACAATTTATATAACATCATTTTGATGTGGAAATTTCACCAAGTGTTGAGCTAAACCTTTAAAACGACCCAATTTCTCTCTTTACATCAGGAAAGGTCCAAGTATATATATTTATTATATTAAATTCCAATGTCGTTATGACACGATGTACAGATATAAAGAAAAGAAATCTTGGTTTGCAGTAAATACGTCAGTAATGATCTGTCAAGCTTTAGAGAGAGAGAGAGAGAGAGTTGGGGGGGGGGGGGGGGGGGGGGGGGACTGGCGAAGGAGTGGACGGAAGTTAATACGCCATATTAGAATGTGAGTTCAAGTTTATTGTTTAATTAGTGCTAAGAAAAATGAAATTAACCGTCACCAGGGGTCAAATTTAAATGTATGGGTGGTTTCTTTTTGAACATCCCCACCCCTACGGGACAGCGTGATGAAATATACTTAGGTACCATTTTCATCATGATTCAATGTAGCTGGGTATAAAAACATTTCGCCGTAATACTTTTCGTTACCGGCGACCAGGTCAAAAGGGGATAACTACATATATATTTGTGAAACTCAAACATGCTGCTGTTTTTAGTTCAATTTGCGCATGGGTTCGACACACTGCGTAAGACCTGTGTCGCATGTCCAGATTTCAACTCCTATCAGAACAATATTAATAAGCTCTATTTTCGTTGTGTCTTTAATTTCTGACGGAAACACATACCGTGTGGCCGTATTTATGAAACCGTTTTCATGCTCAAGCATTTAGCCTAATTTCTTGTTCCGGTTGTAGAATAATAAAAGAAATCTTATTTTGTCACTGATATGGAGGGAAAATGAAGGCCGTATACAGTTTCTAAATTTTAATTTGACTTTTTGACCGTTTCAAATGACTAAAGTGAGTTACAGGAAAACTGATCCATGCTTGAGTACGGACCCAAATGTCGCTTGTTCCTGTTCGAATTTTAGTGGGATTCTAAGGTAAACATATCCTGTCGCTACAGTATTAGTCCCGAACTCGACTCCTACTGGAAGCACTCACTGCCGCTAGTCCAGGGTTCGATTCATAACAGAAGACATTTTGGTACCATAAACATTGTCACCAACGTGTAACCGCTTGCACTTATTATAGGTACAAGACAATAGCATGACGTCATGATCGGTAAAATATAGATACCCACTTGTGACGTCACATACTTGTTGATAGGCTGCTTAGCAATCGGTGAAGGCGGAGATGATCAGTCTCTCCCCTGATATTTACTTCTTTTGTTTAAATCTTCGATTACCGCAATGAATATCAGGTTATTCTTGATATTTGTGGTAATGATGTGCGCCATGCACCAAGGGCCTGCTGTATATCGAGAACTTACGTGGTAAGTTTGGACCAGACATGGTGAGATTGGATCTTACATATGTTATTCTTTGACTAGACATTACGCAAAGATCTCGCGGAGCTCAAATACATGTCAATAACTTAATCAAGATTACGAATGTGTTGATATTGAATGTTTAGAAATGTTTACTCTTGACTTTATAATTTCAACTCTGTAGCGTGGAGCCCGAGCCAGGATATGCCAAAAGATTGTTTTATTATTTCACCGCAAGTGAAATTGGGAAAGTCTGTCCAACGGTTACCGATCTGACATGGGTAAGGATTACATATTTTTTTTAATGTTAATGAGTGCATGAAAATTTCAACAGTTTTTTTTTTTTTTACTAATAGTTTAGTAAGCTTATGCTTGTGATGACATTTAGCTGATTCTACTTCTCATCAATTTATTAAAAACCTGGTATAGTTTATGCTTGTGCATTTCGTTTCGTATGATTTTCTCGTGTGTATTTCGCAATATTACTAGCCACCAGCTATGCTTTGTGAGCGTCCAGTTGTGACAAAACGGCTGTCTTCTCCATTGTCCGTTTCTTAGTAATTTGCGGGTCTTGAACATTGGATGTTGGCAGTATAATTCAATTCACTGAAAATATTTATGATTTGATTTATTTTAGCGAATTGGAATTGAGGTATTCTATAATCTGATGAGTGTGCTTCTTATCCTGCTGTTGGGCTATGCGCCGTCGATCGGAAAAATCGCCAAAGAGAAATGGTCAGCCGCCGTGTCAATGTTCCAAGAATGGAGAGCTCGTAAGTAACCAGCGAAGGTTAAAATATTGAGTAAAGCAGCAGTCTAATGAACGTATCAGTTTTTCTCACTTTCAGCTCTAGTGTTCTGTTTACCTTGTAATTAAGACCTTTTTTAAAAATTAATGTACCTTTTTATAAACCTAATGTTGTAAAAACTACCTTAATACGTCACCGTCCAGATGATACACGTTTGCTAGCTTGGAAACCATTTCAGAATCTTGCATACCTGTGTTCTCAGAGTAATGTTTTGATTAAACATTAAAGTGAATTGTTTGGTAACGTACAGTGTAATTCTAATCTTGACAGACTTTAATTTCAGAGTAGCTCTTTGGTCTTGTTTGAAGAAAGGGAATCACTTTCTATGAGCATTGTAATTTGTCAGATGTGTGTGTCTGGAACCAGTCAGATAGGTAACTGTTAGTCGCGGGTTCCGTTCTGATAAAATCGCAGGGTGCATTGAAAGTAACTTTATGTGTGTCGAAAACTTAAACCCTGGATTTCGAAAATTTGTCTTGACATATTAAATATCTGTTTGTGCAGGACCTTCCCTCTGTCGTCACTGCGGTTCTGCCCCGTGTCAGGTTAAAAGGAGATACTTGTGGAAGTCCTCCGGGACCCGTAAGAAAGACAGGGCGAATTTCGCAAAAAGGTCAAACGCCATGATGTTGTTTTACTATGGACTAGAGTCGTCCGTGGTACTGACCAAGGAGCTGCCATGGAATGACCTGTACTTGGAGAAGAAGTTCGTCCAGCATTTTGAGGAGGAGCATATGGTGTTGTTCCCACTGTGCATCCAGCGTCAGATCAACTACTGGTCCCCCGTCCCTCGCTAGGTATGTACTCTGCCCCTCACCTAGTGCTATGTCCCTCGCGTGATTGGTGTTGTATCCCTCGCTAGACCCCTTCCTAAATTGGTATTATGTCCCTCCCTATGTACTCTACCCCTTGATAGGTTGGTCCTATGTCCCTGCTACGCCCCCTGTCCCTCGCTAGGAACACTGTCACTCACTATGTCCTATGCCCCTTGTTACGTAGATACTCTTTTTCTATAGGTATGTACTCCCTCCCCAAGTTCTCTGTCCCTATAGTTGGTACTATATCCCTCCCTAGGTACCATATCCCTCCCTAAGTAGGTACTATATCCCTCTTTAGCTACCATGTCCCTCCCTAAGTAGGTACTATATCCCTCTTTAGCTACCATGTCCCTCCCTAAGATGGTACTATATCCCTCTCTAGATAGCATGTCCCTCCCTACGTTGGTACTATATCCCTCTCGAGATAGCATGTCCCTCCCTACGTTGGTACTATATCCCTCTCTATGTACCATATCCCTCCCTAAGTCGGTACTATATCCCTCTTTAGATACCATGTCCCTCGCTAATTTGGTACCCAGAGAGGGATAGAGTACCAACTGAGGGAGGGACATGGTACCTAGAGAGGGATATAGTACCATATCCCTCCCTAAGTAGGTACTATATCCCTCTTTAGATACCATGTCCCTCGCTAATTTGGTAATATATCCCTCTCTGGGTACCATGTCGCTCCCTAAGTTGGTACTATACCCCTCTCTAGGTACCATATCCCTCCCTAAGTCGGTACTATATCCCTCTTTAGGCACCATGTCCCTCCCTAAGCGTGTACTATATCCCTCTTTAGCTACCATGTCCCTCCCTAAGATGGTACTATATCCCTCTCTAGGTACCATATCCCTCCCTAAGTGGGTACTATATCCCGCTTTAGCTACCATGTCCCTCCCTAAGTTCGTACTATATCCCTCTTTAGGCACCATGTCCCTCCCTAAGCGTGTACTATATCCCTCTTTAGGCACCATGTCCCTCCCTAAGCGTGTACTATATCCCTCTTTAGATACCATGTCCCTCGCTAATTTGGTAATATATCCCTCTCTGGGTACCAAATTAGCGAGGGACATGGTACCTAGAGAGGGATATAGTACGAACTTGGGGAGTGACATGGTACGCAGAGAGGGATATAGTACCAGCTTAGCGAGGGACATGGTACCTAAAGAGTGATATAGTGCCAACTTAGGGAGGGACATGCGATCTAGAGAGGGATATAGTACCATATCCCTCCCTAAGTTGGTACTATATCCCTCTTTAGGTACCATGTCCCTCCCTAAGTGGGTACTATATCCCTCTTTAGCTACCATGTCCCTCCCTAAGTTGGTACTATATCCCTCTCTAGGTACCATATCCCTCCCTAAGTGGGTACTATATCCCTCTTTAGGTACCATGTCCCTCCCTAAGTTGGTACTATATCCCTCTTTAGGTACCATGTCCCTCGTTAACTTGGTACCTCACTAGCTACTCTAAGTTACCTTGTTCACGCTAGGTAGGTCCCTCCCCAAAATTAAGAAAAATAGGATAGATTGTTTTGTTTTTGAATAATCAATTTCATACATATATTTTAAATTATTTTTCCTTAATGCCAAAACTACAATACATGACAACATATTCTGCCGTAGAGAACGCACAGATTGTGCATTACGTTTACATGAAATTTGATTATTTATTTATTTCATTGCAGAGTCGCTGCGCCGTTCAAAAAGAAGAATGTAATTGTAGTCGGTGATGGAATAGAAGTTTGAGATTGACGTCAGAGACTCAATTTTATTGTCTAATTTTTTTGGCCACGATCCGATCCGATTGGAACGGTGTTTGGCCAATGTTATATTGTACCTTATTTTTGTTTTATTGAATTGTAACTCTATGGATCTTGACCACTAGTGGTTTGGTGAAGAACTGAACCGAAACCTGATGAATTGGTCATTTATAACTTAGCTAGTATTGTCCAGCAGTGGTCCAATTTATAAATGTCGATGGTGTTTGTTTTATTGGTCAGTTGCTAACATGTTACTATAGGCCATTAGGTGATTTGAGTAGTTTTGGAGCTGGAAAGCTGACTAAGTAGTATTGGTCAGTTCGAAGTCGGTTCGCCTTATGTAGATGTTTCCTGTATTTATTACATTAGCAAGTTAGAACGATGTCGATTTGAACTGTTTATTAGTGTTTTGAGATAATTTGTCAAATACTCAACGTGTAAGTCAGCTCAAACCACCAGTGGTTCCACGCTGATTACGGCTATCATTTCGATAGGTTCTACCTTTGTCACATCTTGAAAGCTATCGGTACCTCGTACATTTATGCTATGCTTAGTATTTTGTGATATCAAAATGGATTGATTCTGCATTGACCGCTAGTGGCATGGTCTGATGGTGTTGTCGTGGTCAGTTATACACGCGGTCAAACTGACCCACACGTTCTGTAAAATTATCAACATGCATAATTCTGTTCATTTTGTACTGGTCAGTTTTGCTTTTGTGTAGTAACAATCATGCGATCAATAAAATTATTCAAATTGATTTTCGTGTTCATATCATATTTTTGTAACCATCGTTTTAAAGGGGCATCACGCTGAAGTAACTTTTTTGTGTCTTTTTTTCAAATACTACATAAACATATCAAGTGAGACTCCTTATAGAAAAGAACGATCAGGATTTGGCTGAAATAGATTCATAAAAATGATTAAATCTAAGATAATCATCGGTATTTCCACCTGTCTGACCAACGTTTTGTTCAGGGATTTTCCTCTACTAGCGCATGCGCATAGCACACCATTTCTTTGTAAACAAAATGACTGGCCGTGTGAAGTAAGCGAAAGAAAAGTGTTGTACCGTGTCAGCTACGAAGCGAAAAGTTGCCAAATGGTTAAAAGATAGCGCAAGGGGTACGTTACGGAATCATTATTGCCAGTGGGAAGTATTCAAAGCAGAAAATAACTGCCCTAGCAGTTAGTACGGTGCATGTATTCTTCCGGATTGCCGGTTACGCTGAAATGGAATCGACAGAAATGCTAGCGCTGTTTATGTTATGAATAAATATCTAAAACTATTAACCTCGCTAGTAGTAGTATCATTGTGTGAGTTTGAACACAGATGAACTTAGTTTAATATGTTAATGTGCATGTATCGGAGAGAGTTTACTTTGTGTTTCTATAATTATACAGTGGTTTATGCGAAAGGAAGGGATAAGTGACTGGTTAGTTTGATTTTGCCATGAGGCCATCCAAGAGATAATTGTTGTGATGGCCACGGCGTATTCTGTTCTGTCCTCTGTCGGTACTCGGGGTCAAATGAGATACGTGCGCTATTAGATTTACATAATTCATAATATTACCGGGATCAGTAAAATGGTATGATTAATTATATTGCTGAATTAAACGGTTTTTGTTTGTTTTGACATGCAAGATTTAATTAGTACTAATATGAACATCCGGCCTCCTCTGGCGCGACGACGCAATATATAAAAAAAATCGCTCTTCGTCAGAAAGCTACGTTATCGCAGCGAGATTAAAAATGTCAAAATGACGGACCAGGATGAATGACTGAGGAAGGAGAACCTACTAGATTCTAGTAAATAGGATCGCATAATAAAAAAAAAAAAATCGTAATTTTTCAACAGTTCATGTTTTCATATGATGTTGACTTAGAATGTATGATCATGTAACCTTTTCTCTATAAAGAATTAATTTTCAACTTCAAGTAGAATCGGAATACGTATTGAAAACAGGGGGGAAATATTGTATTACGTTGTAAAAATGGCGCGTGCTGCCGATAACTACGGCTTCAGTTTCGGACAAAAGGAACTGATTAAAGAAAAGTTGTCTCAACATAAAAAAGGTCCATTTACAAGTATGCTTTAATCTCTGTAAAGCATTGAAAAAATATAATTATCAAGTATCTAAACACTTTCCATATCTGACACATATTCTACATGTACACGTAGTGGATTTGCCATACAGTTTAGTATCGTAAAATCAGACAGATTAATCCCTACAGTTAGAAAATCCCGAACAAACCACCAGTTTTCGTATCAAATTCCCCACTCAAAAACCCAGACCAGAAAGGCATCATTCTTCCCTCGAACTAAACCCGAGTGGAATAATCTCCCACCTGACATTATTTCGAGCCCCACAACGGAATTATTCAAATCAGCCCTCTACCGTCACCTTTCAAACGCAAATTAGACCATCTCGTATCTTTTAAAAACAATCTCTTTCCATGTTTCACTCCTCGTCTGACATTTTATCTTCAAATTGTTGAAGTTGGTCAGTACCATTTAAAAGTAGAAGTAGAAGTGTGTGTAATGGCTAATATGACTTACTAAGTGTTAGCGTAGGGAGACAGTGAAAGTGGGAAAGAGAGTATACATACATTTATATGCATGGTCTACAAAAAAAATTGCCCAAAGACATTGAGTTTTACAATGTAATAAATAATTTCAAAAACGTTTCTCTTTTTTATACGCGTGTAGTTTGTCATTGCATATATGCACTTTATGTAAACATTTGAAAAGGGATATTCGTCTTGTCAATATTCCTTTTTACAAAAAGGATTGTCCCATGGTTGAGGGAAGGTGTTTAGCCCCGTACCATCTGTACCGGTCACATTCCGGTACTAAATTCAATATATATTTATATATATCTACTTTATGTTTATGCCTATTATCATTGTTGACATTTAATTGTAAATGTATGACGGGAGTAGAAATCATATTACTTGGTTTCCTTGTGCCCAATTCCTTGTTCAATTTTATTGACAACAAATATATGTTTAAAGCTTAATAAATTTAAATTCTAAATATTGGCAAGTGTGCAATTACATTCTGATGATGAATAATTATTGTTCAATAAGTTTGAATACGGACTTAGAAATCATATTACTTGGTTTCATAGTGTGGTAAGAAGTTGCAGTTGCCTGACGGCCCCTCTCTGTGGGCCCCTTTGGAAACCGTTTCCTGCCTAGTCAGGTGACGTTATCGGCGCTATTTTAAGCAGGGCTTTCCCGAACAATTCAAGTGGTCAAACTGGACATTTGGAACGGACAATGAATATGGGGATAGCGAGGTAACATAAGTGGAAGTGCATACAATACATACATTCATTAAAAAAATATGGCTCTTCACGTGATGTCCCTTTAAACATGTCATAGATTCGTAAAAACGTATGAAATGTCGTGCATTGAAGTGAGAGTTTGCTAATATTACCGATACCTCGGCCCGTATTAATGAAACCGTTCTCATGCCCAATTATGGATTTTGTGCTCAAACCAACTCTGTGATTCTTCCAAATCATTGACAAAATTGTTATTTTTTCATTTATCACTGGAAAAAAATACTGGGCTTGAGCACAGAATCTGGGTTTGAGCATGAGAACGTTTCCGTGAATACGGCCACTTGATTTACGGACATCCTCTAAATTCTTGAAGCTGATTTATCTGTCTATATCTCCGTATTTTACGGATACACTGTCATATCTGACTACATCATGAAGTCCTCACTGATGTTCGTTATATGTATATATAAACATACATGTACAAAGTATACAGTATTATATAAAAAGAAAAAAATAATCAACATCACCGTCACGTCCTTAGCACTTTCATGTCATCAAAGAGATTCTTCATGTTTATCTTACCACACTATTTCAGAAGGATGTACTTCCAAAACGAAAAAAGACGAAAATCGTAGACAATAGAGATTAAATTCCGTTTGGCATTGAATAGTTTATTTCAAAATGCAAAATGCAAAATGCAAAAAAAAAAAAATCTACATATAATTAAAAAAAAATATTGGGAGAGAGAGAGAACATCACCACCTTGGATAATAGTAAAATTAGTAAGAAACGCAACAAAAATAACCAGTGCCCCACTTCGTTAACCAATTTGGGTGAACAAAAATGGCCCCTTTTCATATTTTATATAACTTTACGAGACAAAATTGAACATGTTCTATCAATGATTCCTTTAGATAGTAGGTACTTTTTTATTTGCATTATTTTGTAAGCAAGACACAGGCATATCATTTAAAAAAACAACATTATCTTACCTTGATGCTGGATCTGTTTGAAGTATTCGTGAATACGGCCGGTCACTTGTCGTTAGCAGCAGAGTTTATTTGTAAAGAATCCGCTCAACTGAGCTGTGTTTTATATCCACCAAAACAAAACAATTGATGAATTATACATACACCGTCACGTGATTGTGTTCCAACCACCGCCCTCCAATAACAAGAACTCTATCAGCGATGCGTGAAGGACATGAACCTTTTAATTTATTAACCGCAGATATAATGACAACTTAATTGTACGCTTTTCGTACCGATTGTTTCGCTTTAGACTTGGTCAGTTTGCGGTCAGGTATATATATATAAACAAATTCATGTTGGAAAAATTGTTTCACGTACTTAAGTTAAATGTGTTAATGAAAACAATTGATGAATTATGCATACACCGTCACGTGATTGTGATCCAACCACCGCCCTCCAATAACAAGAACCCCATCAGCGATGCGTGAAGGACATGGACCTTTTATTTACCGCAGATATAATGACAACTTAATTGTACGCTTTTGTGACACTATGGGTTTACCCAATAGTTAACTTAATTAATTAATGTGATTAATTTATGTTAGATTCATCCTATATTTGGATTGTAAGTCGTGCGCTAGTCGGGGTCAGTATTGGGTTAGGCAATGAGATAACATATGTACTGGCAAACGTATTTAAAGGCCGAGATTCAGTGCAATTTGTGTATGTTGGTGTTATCTGGGACATTGACAGAATCAATTAATTTTGTCCCGGCAAGGCTACAGAGCCAGCTCCCTAAGGTCTAGTTGTGTGGGCAGCACACGTGTGTCTGTGTCTATAAGTGTACACTGAAGGTATTTTGACCAGTCATGAAAGGTGTGAGCCTCAATACCCCCTACTCTTGGTTGATATTGATACAAGAAAATACATGAACAAATTGTTTCATTATGAAATAGTCATATTTGCTTGAGCATTAAATGGGATAAATGTATATAAAGACATATATAACAACATTATTGTATGAATAGAGACATATATAGAATTAATAGCGGTATACAATATAGAACACCTTACATAATGTATTCCATAACTGACTTTTCTTACATTATGTATTGTAGATGTATATATATATATATATATATATATATATATAATAAAAAGTGATTAAATGTCCATGTGAAGGAAGTAAATATAGAAAAAATAAAATTAACGACCGACTAAAAAACTAGCTGCTTTCACCCTTCACAGGGCTCTTCAGGTTTATTCAAAAGAGAACAACGTCGTGACGTCACAATTACATGTCATCACACTACAATAGTAACGTGACGTCACGAAGTACACAAGATTGGTGGACAATTTGGCGTAAAATTTTATTGTGGCCTGTTGAGACTCGGTTTTAATATTTTTATTAGTTGGTCTTCTTTCGTTTCTCTTAAAATAGTGTCTGATGAAAATAGTTGATACAAAGGTAATACATTAAATTTATCTCCAGCACATTCATGAATATGTTTGTTAACATGAAGATTTCGTAAAGAATCAGTTCTAGTTTGTTGTCTATGTACAGTCATACGTGTTCTGAGTTCATTACCGGTTTGACCGATGTAAAAATCACCACATTTAGAACAAACGATTGCATAAATTACATTTTTTGATTTACAATTCATATTTACCTTCACAGTAAATTTCAAACCATTCTTGAAAATAAAAGTATTACACTCGATAATCATAGGACATGTAGCACATCTTGGTGTCTTACATTTGGATACTTTTGGTGTTACACAAGAATTATCAAACTTAGAACATGTCAACATACGTTTCAAGTTTTTAGGTTGGCGTCTACAGTGTAAAATAGCATGTTTATTAAAAATGTTTCTCATACGCCTGCTACTTTGCTTTAACTCTTCACATTTGTTCTTTATCACAGGAAACATATTACAATTCCGTGGATTGAAAGTAGAAACAAAAGGAACTAACTTTGATTCATCCTTTAGTTTTTGTAGACGGGAAGTAAAGGGTCCCTTTTCAATAGCTTTCTGTATACCATGTTCTATTATCTCAGTAGGATAACATTGAGCTTTAAGGTATTGCTTTAGTTGACTTAGTCTAGCAATTTGAGCTTGTTGGTCACTGACGATAGTGACAATCCGTGAGGCAAGATTAAATGGAATATTAACTTTAGTGTGTTTACTGTGGTTAGAGTAAAAATTTAGATAATTATGTGCATCTGTAGCTTTACAATATAAATCCGTTGTAATCTTATTTGAATCTAGTTGAACTAAAACATCTAAGAAAGGTAAAGACGTTTCGCTACACTCCATCGTATAACAAATAGAAGGATGTAAAGAATTCAATAGGTTTTGAAATTCATTTAAATCCTTATCAGAAGGCCATATAACAAAACAATCGTCAAGGAACCTTAAAAAATTATTTCTGATAAATTCAGTAAAGTTTTCCCCAAACTTTGTCTCAATCTTAGAATAAAGTGTTTCCTCTAAGTATCCTAAAACTAAGGTTGCATATGTAGGGGCAACTTTAGTTCCCATCGCTGTACCCTTAATCTGTTGAAAGTATTCTTGCTCAAAATAAAAAGAATTACGATTGAGGACAATGTCTAGAGCTTGCAGTATAAATTCATTACTAAAACGAGAATTAACTTTTTCTCGTTTTTTGATCAACCAATATTTAACAGCTTCAATACCAAGATCATGCGGTATATTAGTGTATAAACTAACAACATCAAAAGAAACAAGTTTAGCATTATGTGGGACCTGTTTAGATAAACGGCTCAGAAAATCAAAATCATCTTTGATATAACTGTTTACACTTGTGCATAAAGGTTTAAGAATGAGGTCTACAAGATGACTCAAACGTTGCGTTGCACTATTAGGGCCGCCTACTATGGGTCTAAACTTCAAATCCGTAGGATTTTCAACTTCAATATATGTACAGTTTTGTTCTTCTATAGCTTTACTTATAATAGAGCTTTTGTGGATTTTAGGCAAACCATAGAAATAACTAGTTTTATGCATAAAATTGACAAGATAATCTATCTCCTTTTCATGTAGGCATGCTTCATGTGTCCGTGTTAGCTCGTTGATTAATCTACGGGTTTCCGCATCGAAATCGTCACTTGCCGAAGCATAAAATTCAACATTACTAAGCATGTTATGTATGCATTCATAATAGAAATCTCTATTCATGACCACTACTGCATTACCTTTATCAGCCTCTTTGATAATAATAGAGGTATCATTTCTTAAAGAATCCAAAGCACATTTCTGTCTGTAAGACAGATTACTTTTTACGTGTTTATGATTATCATTATGTAAAGGAATCTTTTTTAAACTATCAATGACGTCTTCTAAATGTTTGTCCGAACTTCTTGGTGGGTTCCATTGCGAATTGTTATGGACTAACGCCGTTGTTTCCAACGGTTTGCTTTCACCGTCTTCGTCACAAAACTTATCGCATAGACGAAGTCTTCTGCAGAATTTCAGAATGTCCGCCTGAAGTTCTTCATTATCGTTTTTATCTGGTGTTGGACAAAATTTAAGACCCTTCGATAGCAAATCAATTTCA